GAGAGAGATAAGTAATATTTTATTATCATTTTTATTCTAACTAGTATATATGAAGATTTTGTTGCCATAGATTATGTTTTCTTGCTCTATAACTGGTTGTATTACTGCTAATTGTAATGTGTGTATTGATATTTATAGGGAAGGAGATCAAGGTTTGCATGGCAACCACGTGTTGATACTTAGAATTTGATTATGTAATTTATGGTGCTCAACAGCAGTCAATGTGATATCCAGTGTATTAGATCAAGTGACAACTGATATTATTCCAGTTTATAATTGAATTTAAAAAATGAGAAAAAAAGGTATATTGTACTAGTTATATTAAAAAAAGGTGAACAAATATTTACTATATCAATTATTTTTCTTATCGTATAAAAAAAGAATAATAAAAAATTAGTGAAAATGGTAAATGAAATTATATTATGAAGAGAAAAAGAATATAAAAAAACAAGAAGTTAAATGAAATTAGAAAAGGAAAAAAGAAAACGAGAAAAAAGAAAAGCAGAAAGAAAAAAAAAAGAAAAAAAAGAAGAAAAGAAGCATAGAAATAAAAAAGAATTGGAGAATAAAGAAAAAATTCCCCACAAAAACTACTATGGGTAGGAAATGTAATTAGTTTATGGGTAGAAAAACAAATAGGTAGACAAGGGTAAATAGTTTTGTTTTTGTGGGTAGCTGTGTCAAAACCCCTAATAAATTCTAGATCAAATATTATGAGAAGTTGGTAAGTTGAACAACGTTTGACAGCGTTAAACATCACGTTTGTATTCAATGAATGCTAATAAATATGATAACACAAATATGCAATAAATGTAATAAGAAAGAATCTAACACCCAATTATTATATGACTTGGATAAATCTTTCCCCTGACAACAACGTGGAAAGAAGATAAGAGAAGGTGGTTGCGAAATCTTTGGATCTTGTGAACAAAGATCAAGTAAAGTGTGCTAGAATAAGATAATCAATGAACAAGACAACTTTTGTATATTCTCTCAAGTCAACCTGTTACAATATGTTTTTCTCAGAAAGTGAAGACCCCCCTCTTATTCTCTATATCTTCCTATTTATAGGGGTTTTTTTTCAAGAAACCCTAATGAATACAAAATAGGGAATATCCAGAGGAATATTCCTTGTATTCATTCCTAAGTCTATCCTACCGTTACTCCCCTACCTCAGTTGTCCGTCCTCGACTACGCTCCCCTTGAAGAGGGCTTTCCCCTATTACGCCATGGTCGACCCCGCCCTCGATCCTGAATCTAGCTATTACCAAGTCGCCAAAATTTAGACCAATACATCATGTTGCTACTTTAAATATAAAATTTCTTTTGATTGTTATCATATTGTTAAATTTGTTGTTGTATAACGATGAAAATTTCATTTTTTAACATTAATTTGATTTTTTCTCTCATCTTGCCCTTTTTTATTATTAAATAATTCTATTTTATTTTTTATTATACTTTTTTATATAATAATTCTATAATTATATTATTTTCTTATAATATTATAAGTTTACTCTCCATATTATTAACACCTAATATCATACAACAATTACAAATTATATAATCTATCTAAATATTACATTTATTAAAAAAATATAATACAATACGTTATAAAAATTAAAAGAGTAATATAATAGAAGATCTAGTAGAAACAAGTCAAAACCGAGGGAAAGAGAGAATATGAGGTGGCTCCAAGTCATCACATGTGGCTCAGTGTTAATCCAGTACACTTCGGGAACTGTGTGAAGTGTGAAGATAGGAACCGTCGGCGACTCAGCCGGTAAATGGCTGTCCCTCAAATTCTTTTTTCTGGATAAAGTATATCCGTTGGATTGCCGTGGCAAACAGACCGTAACGCGTAGACGAGCTTGATTATTAACACACGTGGCATACATGCAGAGCAAACGTTGATCTTGCATTTTTTAGTATTTTATGCGCTTTAATTAAGCTGTCAGGAAGTTAGTAAGGAAACTGTCCGAAATTACTACCAGGATTCGGCCTTTTTGATTAAATATTTTTTTCTATTGGTATCATATACTATTATATATTATTAGGAAACTACAGGCCATGTTAATTTATATGTATCTTATAAAATTTGGTCAATTTATAAAATATTATTAATATTAGCCAATTAGTAATTTGTAGCAAAAAAAAATCAAATTGTTGCTTTCTTTTGAGTAGGTGTTATTATAGTAGATTGGGTACATCTTAAAAGCTTGTATCTCAGTTTTGGGATGATTTAGTGGAATTTTGAGGTGGTTTGAATTGAAAATTCGAAGTAGAAGATAAACATGAAAAAAAATGATATATGTATCACATATATATCATAGTGTATCACATGTATATCCATGAATACCTGTGCGTGAGTGCGTGATACATGTGTCGCAGAAGAATTTTTTGAACTCGATTTTAGTTAAGAATTTTGATACCAAATTAGTCCAAATCACCTCCAATCTTCCTCAAATTTTGTATATTGACTCATCTATATGTTTTGAATGAATTTCAACTATACCAATTGAAAAAATTCTTTTTTTACTTAGATTTTTGGAATATTGTATATATATATATTTTTTGTTTTTCATCACCTTATATGCTACCTCATCCATAAAATTTCCTTTCCGTCTTGCATATATTGTTACTAATCACGCTTAAAAATATGGAATGAGATCTTTGCGTGTAATTTTTGAAGAGAAAGAAGCTTATTTATTTGGGACATTTCTGTAAGTTCCCCTATATTATTAGGTGTACGCATATTACGCCATTCGATTTT